TCGTGCGTACTTCTAGTTGTAAACTGGTCTCTGGTAAAAAGTAATACGTGTCTACTTCTGTTTGTAACGAGGTTCGTCTATAAAAACGTATACTGGTCTACTTCTGCTTGAACGTGGTCTCTGTAAAACGTATCGTGCTACTTCTGTTTGAACGTGGTCTCTGTAAAAACGTATCGTGCTACTTCTGTTTGAACGTGGTCTGTGTAAAAACGTATCGTGCTACTTCTGCTTGAACGTGGTCTCTGTAAAAACGTATCGTGCTACTTCTGTTTGAACGTGGTCTGTGTAAAAACGTATGGTGCTACTTCTGCTTACATCTTGAACGTGGTGTGTGTAAAAGATATATAAAGAGCTGGGACAAACAAATGATGACTTTACTGTAAAACGCAACTTACCTTTTAAGAGTTTTTTTGACATGGGGTCGCGTTCATTATAGTGATCGTGACTGTAGAGGTTGCGTGCTTTACAGCCGTTTTATTCGGTTTATTTGAAATTATGCAGGAGATTAGTTTTGTTCACGTAAACTCATTTTAAGCTTTCTGTTTCATGCTGCATGTGTGTGTTTTAGTAACTAATATGTTCTGGTTTGTCAGTGTGTAGTCTTCGAGAAACAAAAGAACCAATATACTATCATTTTTTAACTAAAGTATGATGTCATGCTGCTTAACTCGCACGCGCAGGACAAGTTTTAGAGCCGTTGAGCTTTACTAAGATCCTGTTTCTCATTGTGCAAAACAGGTTTTACTTTTTAAAGACACTCGGCCAGCCCAGACAGCTTGCTGACATTGTGTTCCGAGTAGGCTGATAATCATACGAGCTTGTTAACTTTTTTCTTTGAATGGTATTCGACCAGTTTTTATTAAGAAAAAGTTAGGATAATGATACATAAATCATACTGCTCTTTATATTAGAAAGTGGATCTACAAGGAAAAGATATAGGTTAACAGAAATGTACGCGTTCTGTGTCCTCTTTGTATAGAAATGAAAATATTTTTAAGACATGGAAATGTTTGATGTTTTCTGGAATTTTATCTACTGTAATTGGAAATAGCATTGTTATAAGGAGCGTAAAAAAATTCTCGATTAAAAACTTTTATTGATACAAATGATAAATATATGCAAACTTGTTTTGGTTTTTCTATACTGTGGTTTTTATCAGACATTTTAAACTTAAGAGTAATGTGCACAAAAATACAACTAAACGTCTTGTCTGATAGGTAAATATTCAGTTTTAAGTGTTTAAACTGGATAATTTACTGAATTTTAAATTGAATGAATTACAAATGACTACTGAATATATTTGGTTCATTACCTTGCTTTTTTTCACTATCCATTACGAGGTTTCTCGTGAAATGTACGGTTTAGTTTAATCACAGGTAACTGAATTACTTAATATTGCCCCCAGTGGCAGTCCGCGGACTTACAACTCTAGAATCCGGGTTTTGATACCCGTGATGAGCAGAGCACAGATAGCCCATTGTGTAGCTTTTTGCTTAATTACAAACAAACAAACAATTACTTAATATTTTAAAGCTCATGATATTGGAAGTTAGGTTGTTCTCAAGCTTCTTTTCAGTATATGTTAAGGTTCTTTGTGACCGGCATTCTGTTTGAATAGAAATTTTAGATATTCTATCCAATGCATAAAAGAGCTAAATAGTTGTTGTTTTGTTATCGTTAAGCTACACATTGGATTTTCTGCGCTCTGTCCATCGCTAGGAATAAAACCAATGGATATTAGTGTTGTAAATTCGTAAACTAACGGATCAACCAGAGAACGAGATAACAAAAAAAAATAGTATGAAAAATTTTGATACGACATTAAACTGCAAGATAGATGCATATGTATATTTGCCAGCACAAACTTTTATCTACCATTAAATCAACTCAAGGTAAATATTTTCTTATTAACATACATAGAAATAATTATGCTGTGTGTGATACAACTGTACCAGCTCATCCATGCTACATTTTGTTTGTCCTCCTTAAAAACGAGTCAGTCATAAAGAAGTTACTATTATCCTAGTAAATTCTCTACATTTCATTAGAAGAAACAAGATGTTTATTTAACCTGGGCAAGGTTTGAAAAATGTTATATTAATGATGCATAGTGTTAATGGTGGCATCCAATATACACGTTTTGGAACTTTATACAAGGCACAGATATGATTTTAAATTCAGATAATGTGTCTGAAGCATCACCAGTTAGTATTCGTATAAGTATTAGGTCGTCAAGAAATTAATGTTGCGTTTTGGAACACTTTCATTACCCCCACCCCCAAAAAAATGTACATCAAGTATAATAGTTAACCGAACTGCTTAAACGTCACCGTCACGTTAGTGTAGCCTGTATAATGTAGGCAGATTTTGTTGAAAAAGACTGATGTCTGTAGGTTTACTTTCTTCTTAGAAATCTTCTCAAGATTAAATATCCACTAACAATAATCGCAATTCACACAACACTCAGCCTTGATAATGGATGCAGATCGTATTCGAAACGCGTCTGCCAATTCACCACTATCTACAACTTTTGCCAGTTGTTCTAATAACGCTAAAACGGCTTATCGACTTCTTGAGAAGATTTCTAAGAAGAAAGTAAACCTACAGACATCTGTCTTTTTCAACAACATCTGTCTACAAGAAAATCTGTCACCAAAGTACACCTGTATAATGTGTAAAGTTTAGTATACTCTAATCCCTTATAGTGATGGCACACGACGAGACACACATTCGGCATGTAATGATGTTTTAATACAAGAACGGAAACAATGCCTATGTAGCCACAAAGAATATCAAAAAAGTTTATGGGAATGTTTTGAACGTTCGTAAATGTGTCAACAATGGTTCAGCAAATTTCGATCAGGTGACTTTAGCCTTTAAAACTGTGATGGCAGGGGCCGACATGTTGGAATTGATATTGATGCTCTGAAGTCGCTTGTTGAGTCTAACCCAAGGCAAAAACACTCATGAAATGGCCCTGAAATTGCATGTCTTTCATGAAACAATATGTAAACATCTAAGGAATATGGGAAAACTCCAGAAAGAAGGTGTTTGGGTGCCTCACGAACTCTCTGATGATCATCGTTTGCAACGTGTGAACATTGCTTAGTCTCTTCTGGCGTGTAATGGTGTGAACCATTTTTGAACAGAATTGTCACCGGGGTGAAAAATGGATTCTCTGTGCGAATGTTAAATGCCAAAAGCAATGGCTCAGTCCTAGATAAAAACCACTTCTTATTTTTTATTGAAAAGCCTTCTTTGTTTCTCTGTATGATCAAAAAACAATAATTCAAAAAAGGAAAAAAATCGCCAAAAAAAAAAGTAGGGGGAAGACAGCTGCAAAAAGGAAGAGGGTGGGGATGCTAAATATGTATTTTGTTTTATTTGGGCTAATATAATTAAATAATAATAATAGAAACCCAATATTTAAACAAGTAGCAAAAAGTTGTTTCAACTTTGTGAAACTGTTCATGAATTTCACCCTTTCGGGGGCATGGGTTAGCCCTTTAATAGAGATCTGGATGTTGGAGTTGGTGAGCCAGTTTTAAATCTGTGAATACCATAAAATATTCACACACACTTGTTATATCATATTTATATGCCATAATTTGAAAATATATAAAATGATAAGTAGGTGCTTTGATTCAAACAAAACAAATGGTCTATGACAAATATTAAGTTGATAAAGTTTATAAAAATGTCCAAAGAGAATTTAATAAAAAAACCTACTCGAATGACAGTGGGTTGAAAGATGGTGATTGTTTCCCTTTTGTATAAACAAAATATAGTGCAAACAGAATTCTGGGTTTTGTGTCTTTATTTATGTGATTGCATAAACTTAAGGTTCTGAATTCATTATCCCTGACAAAAGTATTGAAAAAAAAACTCAGATTGTGATCATTTGTCTTCCTCTCAATTTTGGGGAGTATTGTGTGATTGAAATAGCTCTGTTTTGAACTGACATTAAACAAAAGATGGTTGGTCTTACATAATTATGATACTATGAGGATAGCTTTGGACTGGAATGAAGTAACAGTTTATATGTTTATGAAATAGTGTTTTTGTGTGTCTGTATGGAACTAGTAAGTCAGATTAGACTTTTTAAATGTGCAATAAATAGCTGTAACCATATTGCCTGGACTTTTCAGTATATTTTCTTAATTAATATAATTGAAATTCTTTAAGTTACACATTATATATATATATATATATATATATATATACAGCACTAATTAAAAACTCAGCTGCTACACATTATTGCAAGTACTTAATTCCTTAAATTGTAGTCCTGTGAAATTTTGTCTGGTATTGCCTTAAGCCTTTATTACTTTTATCTTATGACAGCATTTACTTTTAGTTGAAACCTTCTTGAATAATGTCAGTCATTACCAGTATTCTGGTATTATTGTGTTTTAATTAGTCTAGATAGTTTAAACATCTTTTTCTGTGTTCATTTTGACATTTATGTATGTTATATCTGCTTGTTTTCTGTAAATGTGGAACATAGTAAAAGTTATAGTATTTTTAATACTTCAATCATATGCTTTTAATTGTAGAAGGCAGTTCCTATACCCATTTGCAGTTTCTGTCGAGGGACAGCGGACAGCAACCGGGAAGGTGTTTCGGAAAAGCTAATTTCCTGTGCTGATTGTGGAAATAGTGGTATGCTTACTTTTATAATTTTATTGTTTCTTCTCAAATATTTTTCACTGTGTTCTTGTTGTTTAGTTCATTAGCTTGTAGTCAAATTATCTAGAGATTTTACCCAAAGTACAGATTGATTTTAAAGAAAACTATATTTATAATGATTGTACTTTAACAACTGCATGTACTCTTAAGAATAAATTTCACCAATAATGCATTGAGAATTATAAATTTTATTCAGGAAAATTTAATTATGTTACAGGGTGTTCCAAAAATTCATGGATGTTCAGTATGCTTTTCATCATTTTCATTCAGCATAACCAGCTTCTATCCAAATGAAGCTTAACCACTGCAAATGTAACCTGTTTCTAGATAGTGTTCAATGATACTTATAATCTCAATTGTAATGGCCATCTCCAAGACCTAGAAGTTTCTGTAGAATATTTTGACAGACATTCCCTATGAGAAATCCCCACAAATCTACTGGTGTGATGTTGGGGCCTCACCAGCTGTTTCTAACTGAAGGAGCAATGATTCTATCTACAGAATTCCTTTAAAGTGATGATAGATATTGAGGATATTCCCTTACCTGTTTTTCATGATGCCTTGCTTCTCTAGGCATGGAATAAAGTGGTCTCGAACAATATCTCATAATGGACTGTGTTTACTGAAACAGTTTGGACACTGCCAGTTTCTTCAACAACTTCAAAGGAATGAGGATCTGTGATAAAAGTGCTGCTGGAGTCACACCATATAGTAATATAAAGATCATGAGTACTCTTCTGATAAACTGTATGAATAACAAACAGCACTAAGATGAAAGTAGGTTCCATTTTTCCAAAAATATGTTGTTTAATTGATCATTGATGAGACTAAAATGCAACCTGTAGTCACAAAGATGGACCACCACCCTTAGTCACAAGCTTTATTCTTGTTTTGTATTTTACATCATAGTTTATAGAAGATCAAATTCTGACACAGCATATTTTCCATTTGCCACTCAGAAAGGATGCTTCTCATCTTGATCTAGGGCATTCTGATCAATCTCTGTCTGTGTTTTCTCAGATACAGATGTGGATCAGTTTTTCCTTGTCTAGCTGCTTTGAACCACTAAATTAATTGCTTTACATTTCAAGGTACTTGGAAGGAAGTGGTTATCCTCATTTTCTTTGGAATTTCCGTTTCACTAAAATTGAGTGGTACTGCCAGTATTTTGATAACACAGGCAAACAACAATCATGATTCTGCACAATGATATGCACTTTATTGAAATCACCAATTTTGTATTGCTGAAAAATAGAAAGAGAGAAATATAAGCAGGGCTTTTTTTTGTGATAAAAGTGATTTAAGTATGCAGTTTAATAGATTTTAACAGTGGCATACAAATAGATGAAAAGCCAAGGCAGCTGCCCCAAAGCCAAGAGTCCTTGGGGCCTGCATAATCAAACTTAGTCCAAACTTTTGAAAGTCACACTTGTGACATCCTCAGTGTTATATTGCATTACATAATTGGAACATAGTTTTATTTTAGTTATGTTATAATTTAATGAATTTTAATGCTGGATATCTCTTTCAACTGCAGAAAAAGTAGATGTTGTGGATGGTGGGACAAGAAATGATTAAATCTGGTAGCTAAAAAAAACCATTAAAAGCATTTGTGGTTTATTGCCTGCTACCTTGTATTTCAGAATATATGGAATATGCAGCTACATGTGTTTTATTCATAACAACTTTACCAGCAACAGCCACCATAATTAATGTTAGATTTTTCAGGGAGAGTTTATTTTGATGATCCAGAGATTCAGACATGTCATTAAAAAATTACAGGCTAGATTCTACTAATTCGTAGGAGTCTTATAAAATTCTAATGGATTTCTGATGTTGATGATAGTATTATTATTGGAATTTGCTGCAGAAGAGATATATTTTTATTTATTTTTGCCTGCTGCTTCAAGCTCAACACTTTATTCTTTATTGTTTGGCTGATGTAAATCACTCAGTGTCAACAACGTGAAATTTGACTTTTAGTGCTTGTGATGCTTCCTTGGATTTAATTGACTTCTTTCTATCAGTGAGGTTTGCCAAGAAATATACATATCTCTACCTCTTTTTGAGAGGGGACTTGACCAGAACTTCTTTTGCCAGCTCCTTTTTTTTCGAAAGATTTTCAGTCTAGTAATCTCAGATATTTGTTAACTAGTTCTTTTAGTATAAGGCTGGCTCTTTTTTTGTTGGATTTAACTTCTTTTCCAGCATCAAACATATTCCCTATGTTTTCACATTTAAAATAGGGTGTTTTTGTGACCATAATTCTTGCCCTTTCTCTGTCATTTTCCTCGCCCCATTGGAATAGAAATGGTACAACTTAAACCTTTGGCACTCGTGGGGTCAGATGTTGTTGATTGTTTTGGTTTATTTCATCCACAATTGAAAGTTTATCAGCAGTTTGCATATCCAGAGCTTTCTGTACAGCATTGGAGACCATATCTTACCCCGTTGCCTTTGATTACATCATGTTCAGAGTCTGAAATTAATGTTTTGGGCCTTTTCAATTTTTTGTCTATGCTTGGATTTTTATTGCCATACCTGTCATCATCAGTTTCAACATCAGGACCAACCTTTCCCTCTTTCACATCATATTCATCATCCATAGATGTGTCATCTTTTGATTCCTTGAGGTTGACGTCAGTGTAATTAATACCTATACTGATTCTGGCCTCATCATCAAACCAAAGTGTAAATTGCATTTATTCCTACCAGATTAAACATCTACTACCACTTCCTTTCCAACACTGAAGTATTGAAACACTTGAATGGAAAAGTTAGGAACAGAATTGAATAGGATATTATCAGATGGTGAATAATCTGTCTGAGACTGGAATGCTATTAAAAAATAAAGTAATTAAATCTGTTGACAAAATGCTTCAACTACGTCTTTATTTCCTTGAAATTTTCCAACACCTTTTTGAGTTGCTCACAATTGTGTTTCACAAGCTTTTCATTGTAGCTGGGTAGGCCACCATATGATGAGAGACAAACAACAGCTTGTATCAGTGTGGTGCAGTTGTAACCTTGTTTCAGCTAGGCTATGATTTCTTGCAAAGTAAGCATCTAGTAATTATTTGTCATTTTGAGTTATGTTAATACTATGGATCACAATTCATTTGATGAGTGATAGGTCTTTCTTCCTCCTTATCATCATTGCTTCAATAAGTGAATAAGTGACAGGTTTGTTCTCCTTGTTATCTTTGTTGGAAAAGTAGTCAAAGTACACTTTGTTTGTCACAATTCTAGCAAGGATAGTTCCTTATTTTTCTATTGTAAAAAATTTGGCCATGACTCCTTTGCAATTCATGCCTCTTTTTCCCCAATGGTTTTTCTGTTTTCTCATGGTAGTATACTGAAATCAGTTTCATTCTGTATTTTATTACAACAGTAGCCTCATCTGATGGCCCTTATGCTTCATACCTTTTTCTAATTTCATTCATGATACAAAGTATTATGATCTGCTGATTTACCACTTTCAGATTATGACCCATGAAACGATTTTCTTTGTGCTGACAGTCCTTCAGCATAGTTATTGTAGATTGAACATCATAATTACTTACTGTTTTCCTACTTGTTCAAATAAGAATAATATGTATCTGCTTCTGTAACAAGTTAAAGGCTTTTCAACTGCATCTTTAGCCGATACTAAACCAAAAGGAATGTCAATGGAAATGCACTTTTCCACATTTTCATTTCTACAATTATCATAGCCATAGTTGAGGTAGTTTTGCACCAACTCCATTTGCTTCAAGAGTTTCCTATGTTCATCATCCAAAATAACAAGAGTTTCAATTATCTGTTTCACTCACTCAAAGTTGTCCTTCACAAGGAAACCCATAATATAGTCTGAAGCTTTTCTAAGCCCTATGCTACTACATACGAGTTTATACAGAACCAGAAAAGTACCCAGTGTTGCTCGGATGAGAATGGCTTTAAGTATTCTGAGTTGTTTTGATTAAATCAACTTTATTAATTGCAATTTTTTGCAAAAAAATCAAAATGATTTCTTTAATTAACTAAATATTATGTTTAAAATCAATAAAAATAACAACATGCAAAAAAAAATACAAATCTGTTGAAGCTATTTTAATCAAAGCAAAACTGGGTACATTGCTCCTGCTTCTTGCATGTGCTTTACCTGACATTTCAAGTTTCCAAAACAAAATTCTCTACCCTTTGGTGTCCCTATTTCTTTTGTGTGATCAAGTGTCATTTGCTGCATATTCTGACTTTATTATTGTTCCACTTAACGAAGAATTGGTTTATTCTCTTCTCATTGCAACACAATGTAAATGAAAATTTGCTGATACTAAACGTTTTTTTAAAGTCATCGTATAGCTGATTCTTGCGAGTACATGCAAGCAAAGCAAAAGATATGGCTGAAGCAAGCCTATTTAGTTGAGGGAGTGTGCATGCATGTTCAAGAGAAAACACCAGCCTTTTTCATTAAGGGAAGTTAGAGAATAGGCATTATGTGTAGAAGAAAGAGCAAGGTAGGGAAAGAGCACAAATGAAGGATCCAAGAAGTATTTAAATTGCTTTAACACATAGTTTATCATGGATAGAATGATTAGGAGAAGTCTTCACATTGAGAAGAAATGTAAGTTTGAACACAAGTCACCAAAAAAATCTGGCCTTTTCAATTTGAGACCACTTGGTTGTCCTGTTTTTCAAAAATTGCTATATTGGTCACTTTGTCCTCAATTTGCATCCTCCAAACGACCTCTGAGGATGCGGCCACATATCCCATGTTACTTCCTGCATAAAGTTGTATCTGTATCCTGAGTTTGGAGTTTGTTGCTTGAAAGATGTGGCTGTACGTAAGGAACAGACCCACAGAGAAAGAGAGAGACACTTGCATATATATATATAATGAACTTTTTGGAAATGTGTACTGTGGTTGATACAGTGTTGAAGTACAAGGCTTACTCTGGTGATTGCAGGAACAGCATGACTACTCCCCATGATAAATGAGATACATTATCAAGCAGAAGAATAGGGTAAATAGCACTGTCTCGTGACTAAAGTTTAGAATGGTCTTTTTCTCTTTCTTGAGTGGTTTAGCATGGTTAAGCTTCTCAGAATTCTATTATCCACTTGTAAAACTATGGGAACTTATCGTAAACTGGTTTGCAGCTCACAGAACTTGTATGAGGACTATAATAAAACAGGTGTCATGCACTTTTCAGTGTACGAAGCACACTGCCATATTTCATAAGGGTATTTGTTTCTTCATCAGTTCTGAGTTTTCCTTGTCTATAATATGCACCAGCCTTTGTCAGCTCATCAATATCTTTGATGTTGCATTGATCAGTGCTTCTTTCAAGGACTGCAAACAATCCTTGAAACTTCTTATAGTATATTTTCATCATAGTACTGCAGTGTCTGTGGTGTTCCACTCTGTTAGTCCAAACTTCACAATCCATTCTAATTGTTGTGAACAGTATGTTTGTGTGAAAGTATTCTGTGCTAATCTTTATACCAAATACCTTAAATAAATCATCATAACTCATAATTGGGACTGTCACATGGGGAGAATATTATTCTTCAAAACTGCACCCCTTAGGAGCTCCTATTGTTTCTTCTTTATGCATGCTAGTTGTTCAAACTTCTGTTTTCTTTATTAAGCTCTTGTGCTGTAACTGGGACTTTTTGCCTATTTTGTTAGCAAACTGTTTGGCAACTGATATTTCATCCTGATGACATCTGCTATGCTTGTAGCAGATGGAGTACCTTGCAACTTTATACATGCAATTAACTTTGGAACTGTTTTATGACATGTCTTCTCAGGCTCCTAGGGTCTATAAAATATTTTCGTGTATTAGATATTGTTTTGTTATTATAGTTGACTCAGAAAAATGATGACCACTTCCCAATTTTTAGGTAAATTTATCAGAAGAGGTATACAAAAAGTTTCACAACTCTATCAGAGTTTAACAGATATCTCTGTAACGTGCAATCATCATTAGTGAAATAAAACTACATTCTATATAAAAGCCAGCATGTGAAAACTTATTTTAGGCTTACCACAAAAATATTCACCATCGAAACACTATTAGTTGAGGGAGATGTGTGTTAAGAGTTAAATATGGGGTTCTTTTTTTTTCAAAGCATTGTAGTTTTTAGTTAGTTATTTCAAATGAGTAAAATTTCAGTGTAAGATAATTTCTACGTAATATTGCAATGCAACTATTATCAAAGTTTAACTACAGTTAATGTGTACAAATTAATGCATTTGTTGTCTGGATTAATAGGTGGTTATTTAGAAATTATATACTAATGACAGATTCTTATATGTTGTTATTCACTTGATCTCAAAACAGAAGTTATTTATAAACTATAAAACTAAAGACCACAATTATTTTAAGCTATAATTCAGATTAAAGTGATAATATACGAAAAATAACTTTTGCCAGAAGTGAATGTAGTTTTTATGGTCATATGTGCTTTTAGTTGATATAACTTGTTGAAGTTTAGACTTGTTCCGTGTTTTGCAGTACACAAGTTTGGTAGATTAAAACTTTTTTCTAGTAAAGTAACTAATTGTATATTTTAAGATAAGTGGTTGAACAGAACTTATTATGACTTCGGTATCAGTCATTTCTTGATGTTTATATAAACATGTGGATAGATGGCCTGTTTCATGAGTGTTTATGGTTTTTGCTAGTTGGTTTCATTACAGTTAATCCCATTTTGAATTTTATTAATGATCACTACTGAATACAATTGTAGAACGGCAAGAAGTGACGATGCTGTAGTGTGAAAAATAATGACTTGTAGTTTGTTGTAGCTGTATGTTTAAACACAACAAATTTTTGTTGTGAAAAATATTTATCTCTGCTTCTAATAAGAATACTTGCATAGATTAGAAACATTGATACATGTAATGAATTAGATTCACAGAAATTTATTTAGTAGAATATTTGATTTCATATTTTTATAATGTTATGCTTTTATTTCTTAATAATACATTCAGTGACAAAAAGTGTACTTGCTAGTATATACATTGTGCCTTGAAGCAAAAGAAATGTATTTGGTCACTGTGACAGTGATAATTACAGGAAATAGATGTTTTCAACGGTGCATAACAATGGTACGGCAACTGAGGTTGAAAAAGCAAAACATAAAGGCAAGATAGTTAATCTTCTTTAGTGTTCTTAAGGGTAGAGATCTGTCCTAGAATGATGCACAACTTGTCAATGCAAACACGTATTCATAGATAGAATGTGCAGCTGCAACAAACTTTAGCATTAAGACACGCTTTGTGACTTTCATGCCTGAATGAATTCATTTCTTTATTTTACTGTTGTTCCCACTCCCCTCCTGTGACTCTGTTGTGCAAGTTAAATTTTATGTTTGAGTTAGATCTGATATACAGCTTATACTTTGAATTTTTATATTCTAATTGTTGGAAGTGCCATAATCTCAATTTATTCCTTACTTGGTTTAAATTATGCAAAATAAGTACCTTTGGCACCTGTTCATTTTGTTTGGTTTTCTTTTAACTCAATCTTATCTAATTGTGCTAACCTGAAACATCATGATGATTGTAAAGAAAATAACTGTGTAGTTAAAGCTTCAGATAGCCTGAATAAAGATAAAATAAACAGTAGTGAGATGGTAAACTTAAACCACTATCTTGTTGAAATTACAAACTTGGCTTGCATTACTAATATGAAAACTGTTAGATGCAGGAGAGCTATTTATACATGAATACATGATGTTGAGTAGGAGTGCAAATTATGTTGGAGTACCTTTAACTCTTAAAAAATATAGTGTTAGAATTGATGAACCTTAAGTGTTGTAACTGAAAGGAGTAGAAATGTTAATTAGTTTCACACTAGTGTACATAAGGGTTAACCTGACATTAATGAGCAGCTTAGATCTACCTCATTGTATTGAGTATCAAACAGATGAACCTGAAAAGTTTTTGAGGCTTGACAGCCTAAAATGTTGTTGTAATTGTGACAGAGAAATTCAGTAAATCCATTTTTGTTTCGGAATTGATAAATGTATTTTTCAGTTTTAAAATAATTTATATATGTTTTATGGAATGGACTGAAAAACAGTTATGTACAGCAATTATGTAATAGAAATGTTAGAAATAACACAAGCTTGACTTCCAAACACATGTTAAATGGCTGATATAGAAGGCACTTTCTTTAGTTTAAGTCATTAGTGGGTTAAACCTGGAATATATCTGTACTTGCAGGATTTTGTTCGTTATGAACTGGTAAATACTAAAACGTTTCTTTCAGTGTATAAAACTGAAAATACTCTCCTTATTCACATAACTCGGCTCTATTATTATTCAGTAACATAACTTAATACAATTATCTCAACCTATTTTACTAAAGCAAAATGTATAATAGCTAAATACAGTGGCATCTCAGATTGATGAATATTCATGCTTTGTGTTAGGACACCCCAACTGTCTGAAATATTCCCAAGAATTGACAGCACGTATACAGAATACCAGATGGCAGTGTATCGAATGTAAAACATGTAAAGTCTGTGGAAGCAGGAACCAGGCAGTAAGTACTGAGAATTTTTACAGTTGTTTTTATTCTTACGAAAAAAATGATAATTTTCATCATGCATTTTTGTTTTAGCTATAAGTCACTGAACTCTATGTTATGTAAATGGTAACCAAATGTTGTTGCCAGCTAAAAACAATGAAAAAATGTGCTGCTGACTTTAATTACTACACATTACTGTAAGAAATTCACCATCCTGTCAGCGAGATTGATATTTCTCTCAGCTGTATATGTTTCTATTTGTTGTTGTTTGTTTAACTACCTTCAGTAGTGTCCTTTACTGTGAATTTTTTTAGAATGTATAATGTTTATGTTTTTAACTCTTGTTTATTTTATGGATGAAACAGTAAGCTTATCTGGTTACCTATCTGAATTATGATTTAAATATCTACATAACAGTATTAACGTTTTTGTCAATGCTTGTCTTTAAACCACTGTTGTGAGAGTAATTTGTAAAATATTTTATTTTTTTCCATTAGGAAGACTTGTTATTCTGTGACTCATGTGATCAAGGCTTTCACATGGGATGTTTACAGCCACCTCTTTTAAAGATGCCAAAAGGTGCTTTTAGTAATTTATTCAATTACATTTTATTTAATGATTTGATTTACTCTCTGAAGTATTGAAATTCTTCTTCATCTTCCACACTGTAAATGTGGAACTAGTACAAATGAGTAAAATAATATTTAGAGTACGTTAAAGTAATACAAGAAATTGAATTTCATTGAAAGTCTATGATAGCAATATAATCTTAATTGCGGCATCCTTCATGATTAATGCATAAATAATTTTTGCATATTTTTTTAATTTTTGTATGGTAAACCAGTGTCTAATTTAAAGATGTAAACTGAAGAATTGATAGAGCTGCATACCCTTTTAGCTAAGTATTGATTTCCCATCATTTGGCTACTGGCATTCCAGATGAAAGTATTTTGTCTGGAACAACTTATTTATCTAAATTATACTTTTATTCTTCAGGTTCTTGGAGCTGTGAGCACTGTTTGGATGAGCTTTGTTTGAAGAATAAAAGAGGTCGAAGATTAATAAATGAAGTTGCAGCTACTGTAAAGATGTGGTACAAAAAACAAAGCAATAGTAAAAGTAAAGCAGATAAAACAACACACGGGTAAATGCTAATATATGTGTAGTTTTTTTTAATTTTACTAAAGTAGCACAGGGATATATTAAAATTTTCATTTTATTTCTAAATTTGTATATTGGCCATCAGAACGAGGAGTGCTTCCCACCATGTCAATCTTGCTACAACCATACTGAAGTTTTCTTGTAGATAAAGCTTTTTAAAAAAAAATGAGTAATTAACAATTAAGAAGTATATTTAAACATAAAATAGTTTAAGAATTTTATGCAGACTATTTTCTTCATTTACAATGCTATTTCTTGGTGAAAGAAATATTTAAGTAAAATAAAATTAGCATTGTTAAGTATTATTTTAATCCTCAATGAAAGCAAACTTTGTAAATTATATTTAAAAATGCTTGTAGTTTTGTTGTATTTTTGGGTGCTTAATAGAAAACAGAATACAATGAATATTAAAAATATATGAAGTATATAACAATGAAAACAGTATATAACAGTTTTGTGCTCTAATCTGTAAAACTGTAATATTCAGTGTCAACAAAGTCCATATTTAGTTACATTAGTTTTCTTAAACTTTAAGAACTGGAGAAAGTTTTTACAATTATAGTTGTTCACTGAGGGTAGAGAGGTATGTGTTTTAGAGTTTTTTAAAAATATGTTTGTATGAAAATTGACATTAGACAAATCTAAATTATGCTCAACAGAGATTAATTATAAGTTATAATTATCTTCGTTGAATTGAAATAAATATGAAACTGTTTCAATACAAACCAGAAATAATCTGGGAGCTATAATTTATCCCTGACTTTCTGAAAGACCTTAGAAGTGTGAACAGGCACGAATACAATACTTGATTACCAGACTTGTGTTTGAGTATAAATTATATTTGAAGAATTTCTAAGTTAATTGTTATAGTTAAGCATAACAATTAAACATGTTCTTATTCTTAAAAAAGGCTTACCCAAGCTGGTTTTTAATTGTGCAGAAACCTGAGTGTTTAAAATAAGATATTTTCAAAACTATAAATTTGAAATGTAGAATTACTATTTATCATATCCATTAGGTAATGGTTCTATATTATGTCTGTGTCTAATAAAAATGTATTAAGTAAAACTTTTGCCCATTTGATTACTTAAATAATTTTGATATTTTATAATGAGTGTAGACAAAATATCACTTATATATTAGACCAGTTTTGAAGAAAAAAATGTTTTCCATACTTTTGGAGACCCAAAGGCCTCCTTCATTAGAGAAATCATCCAACTGCTAGATGCTAAAACTGCTTAACTCCTACTTCATGCCACCATGACTCAACTGGTGGATAGTTCTTTAGCTTAATGGTGTGGGTGAGATGTTATTAATAACATTTGTGTAATAAGTATCCATCTAACCCTGTAATCTTGTGTATTAATTATCATTGCTATGCCTAATTTTTACAGCTGAGGTGCTCCAAAAATAGCCAGAAAATGGAGAAAATTTGCTGTTTTCCTATGATGCACAATTTTATACCTAACCCAGTATTTTTATGTTGCTTTGTTAGCAATAAATGTTTTGTTAACAGAAGATAAAACATTAGCCTGTTCACACTTACTTTTACCGTCATCTGATTTTATGGCTTGCAAGTATTTTGTCTGATTAATTTTCATAGCTTTCTATTCTAAGCTGGATATTTCAGAAATGTGGGTGAATTTATTTGTTTATATTTTATTAATTGACATAGTGTTAGGAAATGGTGAAGTAATGATTTACTATTTTGTTTAGTAGACATGGATAAAATAGCATCACCTGCCTGATTGTAACTGAAAAAACATACATGTTGTTTTAATATTTTTCAGTGCTTTAACCCCTTTTCATTATAGATTTATGAAATTTCTAAGTGCTGGTCCAAATATTGCTACTTAATCTAAATTTTTTATTAAATTAGTCATTGATTTTTTATTTGTTTTCGATTTTGATGTGGTTTCAAAACTTTTGAAATGTCATCGAGAACTTCTTTTTTTATTAGTTTACTATGATTGAATAACTTGTCATAATAGAGTGTCTTAAATATTTATTCTTTATAACTTCTAGATGTCTAAAAGTGCATTTATTATTGTTTATTAAAAAACAGTGTTAAATTGCTGTTGATAATGGAAATGGACTAATTATGTCTTGACATCTTAACTTTTATTGTTTTAAGCTGTTAAAGGTTGCTTTTTTTATTTTACCACAAACTACATAATTTTTATTTTTCTGCACACTCGCTGCATAATCAATAATTTTATATATAAATGTTTTCATATCAGGTTTTCTAATTCTTAGAACTGTAACTTAGAAGAAACTAATGTTAGCAAATACATTTTTGTAATTTTTCAGGTTTTACCTCTCCTCAGACTGTGATTTACCTGTATCTTCAAGTGAAAAAAATGTAAAAGTCAAAAGGTAAATAATTTGATAAATTACAAAGCATATGTGCTTTTAATAAAGAAAGGACAAAAACTTGAGGTTTCAGTTTTTATTATCAGTAGTTTGTTTCTCACTACTAAATGTCAAATGACAGTCTAAAAAAAATAAGATTTGAGACAAGTAGCTAAAATTCAAGTGAGTTAGCAGTCTGTCATTGTTAAATGTTGGATAAACCAAAATCTATTAATTTATACATGAAATGTTAAGAATTATTTTTTTTTTATCCAGAATATTAAAACTTGGTAAAGAAATTTTGAAGTGCATGGTAAATTAGGTAATTTTTCTTAACAGCAAAAAATCTATGAGACAGAAACAGGTAAGAAGGACAAAGAAAAAAATAGCTTTGACATCAAGGCAAATTGATGCAAATAGAATAGTCTCATCATCATCTCAATCACAAGTTTTACTACATCACAACCATGTAAGTGCAGAAACTACAAATCATGAGCATAATGCAAAGGAAGAGCAGTCACAAACTATCATTCCTGCTCTCTTTGATCCATTTTCATTTTCAAGCCAACCCAAAGGTCTGATTGATGGATTATCAAAATTTTTCACCCCTGGTAATAAACGTAAATCTCGTGTTGCCATAAGCTCCATGGCAACACCATTTACAACTGTCGTACCTGATACAATGACAAGTGTAGATATCCATCTGAAATCCAGTGAAGAAAGCCATCCTAACGAAGTAGAGGAGACAGCCAAATCCAAGAAAGTAACTACTACTGAAAAGGAGGACACACTGAATGTAAGAGAATTGTCTTGCAATCTTGAAGCTCCTAATATCAGTAATTCAACTTTTCTCTTGAAATCAAAATATTCATCTTCACTGAACAGTGCATCATCTCATTCACATTCTACATCTTTTAATGAAACTTCATCACTCATTTCTTCAGACACTGTGCAGTTAAAGAGTCTGTTTGATGGTCTTTCACAACTCTGTACAAATGATACTTGCAAACGTGGCATTAAAGCTGATGGGTATATTCCACCAAAAAGAAGGCGTAAAAAATTTTTCCTTGTGAGTAGAAAGAAATCTCAGATTTTTTCAAAAGCTACTGCAGAAAAAAGGACTAATAAACTGAAGAAAAACATTATCAAGGTACAAGAGAATGACCAGACTCTAAATTTTTCTAGGGAGTCTGCTGGACTTCGTGTATCAGAGACTACAAGTGTAAAAACAACTCATCTTTCAAGGTGGACATCATCATCATCATCATCGCCACAGTCATTACCTGTTTCTGATGTTCTAAGTGTTGGTAGTTCAGAAGTGGTAAATTCACAGAATCCAGTGATGAAACAAAACAAAACTTCGTCTACATCACCTCATGATGATCAGGCTTTGAAATTGTCAACGACTTCCACATCTCCACCATCAGATTCAACAGTAAATGGTTCTTCAAATCTATCGCCATCAAAGAGGAAGAAGAACAGTAAACATTCAAGTAAGTTGCAAGATAAAAATATTAGAATTGCAAACTAATGAATACATTTACTACTTGTGAAGCATGATTTTTATATCTATTTTATACAAAGAATATTTTCTGTAGTCATATTCTATAAATAGAAAAATGTGTTTGTGATTTGTAATAAATAAGGATTCAGCTGAGTTATGGAAGTTAGTCATTAAAAGGATGGGTTTAGTATTACCAGTGATTCAATGGTAGATTTTTTTTTCTCAACCATTTGTATTTGCTTTTAATTTTGAAATAACAGTTGGGAGAATCTCATGTTGAATAATAAAATTTATAGATAGCTTAATTTTCATGTGCTCTAGTTTAGAAGCAGAAACTTCATGAAGTATTAATGTCTTTTCAAGAGGTTTCCGTAAATAACTTACACTTGGCACTGAAACTTTCTATAACATAGCTTAAAAGAACCTTTGAAAAGCATTGAATGAAACTGTGCTTGGTTTGTCAGTATTGTCACTAATCATTATTCCAAACTCAATATACATATTTGTGAATGATGTCATAGGTCAGATTTAGAATTATTTGCACTAGGTTTCACTGTTAAAACATGATTTATCTTGCAAAATGATTTTCAAGTCTACTTTTCTCTGAGGATACTGACATTTTTTAGTTATTTCCTTTGATTTTTGTTTTTCATATATTTTATACTGTACTGTGCCTTTAAAGTAAAGGTACTAGCGAGAAGATTGAAACAAAAAACTCTTTAAAATAAATCATTTTCTCTTCCTCGTCAGTGTTTGCTCATTTGTGATTTGGCTTTGTGTAGCCTAGCAGATAATGTTCCAGAATCTGAATGTAAGAGTTTATGGTTCAGGTTCTGTTGCTGCAAAATCCTGCTGTGTTGTTTAGAAACATGAGTGTGTGTTATAGTTAAATCCTTCTATTTGATTAAAGTAGTCCAAAAGTTGTCAGTGGATGCTGTTGACCATCTGCCTTTTTTCTAGTCTAGTCAAAATTAGGAACACCTTGTGTCATTTTGCATGAATATCCGAAACAAACCTTTGTGATTTTTTTCCAATGATGTTCTGTAACACAAATATTACTTGGTATCCAGAAAAAAACCACATAAATCAAAACTTGATTAGTTATCTTTATTTCTCACCCTTTCACTTCAGATTTGATATATGCAAGAACATTTTTCTAATCTTACATAATATTAAACTTTCTTTGAGCATAAAATATATAATAAAAGTTTCCTGCCTTTTATGTTCTTCCGAATAAGCCATAAGCAACTAAGTATTTTTTATAAGATCGGAACTGTTTACACTTTCATGCGTGTGGTTTCTTGCATGCTGTTTTTTGTTTGTTGGTAAGCACAAAGCTACAGAATGGAATATCCGTGCTGTTTTTTATTTTAGCTTTTAAAGGCTTGATCAGGTGCTTGAAATTGTGGAAGAAAAACGTCTATTTATAAGTATTCCTGGAAAAGTCTTGAAACTGAATATCAGTTTTAATAAATGATCCCCTATTTCATTGGTTGGTTACGAGAGTCTAATCTTACTCTGTGAATCTCATTTCTCGTGAGAGCAGAAACTGTTGGAATTTGCGCAGGCGGGCACGTTATGTGAATGAAAACACCAGTAAAATGTAAGTTTAATCCTGCGTGGCAGAATTCAATACTCCTAAAAGTTTTAATATGGGTACCAGGAGTAGCATGTACCATATTTTCACCGTAGTAAATAAATCGTTTGTGATTGTAATATATCTAAGGAAATGAAAAACTAAAGTTAATATATAAAGGCAAGGAATAGGGGTTGGGGTTAGTTACTTTGTTTTTTTTTGTTTTTTTTTTTATTAATATATGTGACTTTAAAAAATGACATGTAAAGGAGTTAAGACTGTAACGAATGCGTTTGAAGTCATGTGAATTAGCAGGGGTTGCATGTGACCAGTTCTGTTTCTCGTGTGAATAGAAACCTACCCGTTGGCGGCTTGGCCATGAAAAAAAAAGTCAGCTTCCGGTGTTTGATAAAGAAAGAAATAGCCCCAGTGAATTGCATGTGTGAAAATCCCAAACTGTCGTTTTATACATCATATTCTATGATGTTGTATATAGTCATAGCTATTTGGCATTGGCGCAATCATAAAACTGCATAAAATATAGTTTTATGTATAGCTCTGTTTTTGCACAAAAGATTGATTGCAAAATGTTGATTATATACCGCAAGGAAGTGAAAATGTAAACAAAATACACATATATTTCACTAAGAATATACACGAAAAAATAGACACCGTTGTGAACAAGAAAATGATGGAATCATTTGAACTTGTATTTGGAACAATTTAGGCAGTGCGACGGTTAAATTCTTTACTTGTAACTTATTATTCTTTACTTTTCTCGATAATTAAATGACAAAAATAACCATATGATGGACACCAAAGTTTTTTGGTGTATCATACGTGATGAATCAAGCTGTGGTCGACCTTATTCATTCTTTTTGAATTTATTCTACAATGTTCTTGTGCCCAGTCATCTCCTGTTATAAAACAATAACAACATCCCTTCGTAAACATATGTTGGATATTTTGTTTTAAAAAGGGTATTTTTAAGTAAAACTTCTCAGTACTGTTACTTAACGATTGTGTACCCAAACTAAAACTGCACCCTTCTTCCTCCATAAAGCCATAAAAGCACCATTGGGATGCATTCTCTTTCGATGACCCATCTGGGCTGAGTTCTCTTATTCGATGACCCATCTGGGCTGATGAAATATGATATATCTTGAAACTGTAGTTCTTAGCTAGTCATGATATGGTTTTATTTGTCTGTTTAGTGTACTATATTTCAGAATACAGATATTTTTTATATCAGTTGTCTGTGAACTTGAAAGTGAAAAATGCCCATAAATAGGTAAAAAGTAGTCTTCCCACAAGTTGAGCTTTTTTTTTTCTTTTACTTTTACTTTATACATTTGCAGCTATTATGCAGAAACACGTATACATATTTAAAAGGCTTGACATGTTCAATTCTGTTGTGAAGATACGTAATGAATTTTAAACCTCGTTGTATATGTTTTCTTTTTTTCGTAATGTATATCTGGTAGTCATTTCGGTACGTAAAATCAGATTTCTCAGTTTTTCGGCCAGAACTTGTGGTTTGTACGACAAGCTTACTGAGAAAAGTGAAGCGTGTCGAGGTCTTTGTTCATAACGAGTTTAGTAGTTGTTCGTGCAGCTCACGTGCAGTTGCTAGTAGTGTAATGTTTTTGTATATAGTAGCTCGGATTGCAAGATGCAGTCTATCGGGGTTTTTACGTGCATGTAGCGTCAAGTAAATTTGCAGGTCAGGGGCAACCTCATGTGTGACATGGTTAAATTTACCAGGTAAATGTTTGAGGCCGTAATTAACGGCCCTGGAAACCAGCTGCTTACATTGCGGCTCCGCCCTAAGTTAGAAGTAGTCTATATACTGTGCAATCAGTCAGAGGGGGATTGAAAGGAATCTTGTTGCGTGTCTAGAACCAAGGTAGATATTAAAAATAATAATAAAAAACTGCCTTTTATATAGTGTCGTGTATTGTGTTGTAAAGCGTTTATTATTGAGTAAGTTATACAGATAGATGTATTCTATCGGTCTAAGCATACAAGACATAAAATATAAAATAATTTTGGCCTTGAACGTTCATCTGCTATATAAGATTTACTGTTCAAAGTAAAAATACAAGAAAGACAGTTTTAAGTTTTTATTGACTTACGCTTTTTTTTGTTTGTTTTTCATATGTGATCAAAACCTTAAAGTAGTTTTACAGAGCATTGTGTACGTCATATTAAAACGATTTTGAATCGTGTAAAGCAGTAAATCCAGTGACAACTACAGCCTATATAAAGTCGCGGTGGAACGGAATGTATCAGAACTACATTTTGGCACTGTTTGACGTTACGTAGAAGTAAAGAACTGTGGCTGGATACTGGCTAACATGTCTGCACTCCAGTGTGCATACACTACCCGAAATCCATTATATAGTATGTCGTCTTTTGAAGTTATATTTTAAATTTTTTATGAATCGATAACAAAACTGAGATTCGTATAATGGCACCTTGGTGACCTGAATAATCAGCATTTACAGTCACGAGCTTACCATTTTTGGAAGTTGTTATCCGTTTTAATTCTATCATTATTGGCCTCCTGGAAAAACATAGTAATAAATCTTTTACGGAAGGTTAATTGAAGCGTGTATGTAATTTGAAAAGGAGGCTATTGATCAAACAATGAGTTAAAAGTATTTTAGTTTTTGGCATTTTTCATTGCCGGTATTGTCTACTGATAATTTCGACTGAGCTCGAAAGTGTTTTGGCTCTGCATGCTATAAGTCGCAATCTGTAGTAAAATGTTACAAATGATTTGGCAGAAAATTTCTAAACTTTTACCGATAAATTTTAACGACGGATAACAAATCCTAATGATAACGTTGTTTGTTTGCGATGAACAGAAACTCAAAATAGTGCGTAATTACATACATCAAATAACGCTTGGAGACGGCTTGGATGGGTAATGAAGAAAAACTTATATTAAAGTTTATCTTCATTACCCATACAAGCCGTCTCCAAGCATTATTAGTCTCAAAGTGGGTTCCTCGTCATCGAATTTGAAAGACATGAAAGTAACATTTTAACAGTCACTTTACAATTATTGTGCTTTTTTATTTTTGTTAATTGATGATGGATAAGATCGGAAGGCGTAAATAAACATGTATAGAGTGGATACGTGGGTGTGTGTATATTCGTATATTACTTTAAGAAACCGTACATAAAACAAAGATCGGATTGCGTCACTTGCGGCTCACATCCTAGGATTGTTTGTAGGTTTTGAATTTCGCGCAGTTACACGAGGGCTATCTGCGCTAGCCGTCACTAATTTAGCATTGTAAGACTAGAGGGAAGGCAGCTAGTCATCACCACCCACCGCCAACTCTTGGGCTACTCTTTTACCAACGAATAGTGGGATTGACCGTCACTTTATAACGCCCCCACGG